TGTTTTTTTGTATACCCTTGGCACTTTTGTTTTGTATTTGCTGTTCAAGCATTAATAATAAAAAAAATTATTATATTTTTTTTTTATTCCGCCATCTTGGATTTCTGGTCTAGCGAGTGTGTGCATAGATGGACTACTTCCAGTTGTCATGGGCTGCGATTGATCTTCATAAATATCCATTTCTCAATTGTGCACATTGGCCTACATCAGTTTGTTCCATCATCATTTTCACATTTTCACAACATATTTTAATATTTTAGGCTACACATAGTTAATTTTGCATCAAACTATTTTTTTTATTAAAAAAGGCTGTAAAAGGATACAACTAATACATGACTAATTTAAAGATTTGTTTTATCTGATAATTAATGCAAAATAAATCGTAAAAATATAGTCTACATGCGCTGCTTATAGACATGATTTATGCAACAGATCTTTCACAAAACAGATACATATTAATAAAAACACACAGGGAAATACAATTGTACAGTTACAGTTAGCTATAAATTATGTTATCAAATAAAGTTAATATGCAGAAATCTCTGAGCGTCTAGTCGCAAACCTGATCTTATAAGTAGCAGTCAGAACAAAATCAACTCTACGAAAATGTACAGTATTGCACATTTGAGTGGTTTGTGTTTGAATGAAGAGATCCCTGTGGATTAACCACTGACGCTGAACCGCATAATCAACAGAAGAAAGAATGAAGCAATCTCCACGTTTCATCTTGATGAATTTTCACAGAGAGGTACGCAACAATGTATTTGATATACCACTATCCGCTATTTAATTTGAAAAACATTAATTATATCTATCTAGCCAAGTTTCGTATGCAAGTTTTCTTTACAGTAATGCTGCGTTCAAGTCCTCCAGGGACATTCGTACTTACGAGTTGACAAGTCGTAATTAATACGTCAGGTGCGTTCAAGTCAGTTTAGTCGGCACAAGATGGCGGTGTACCTTCTTTTAATAAATTACAAGAAAATACAACAGGGTCTGTTAACTCTGCTTATAGAGCTGACACTGATCAAGGGTGAGTTCTGTCATTGAATTGTATGATTTTAAGCTTGTTTTTGTATGATTTTTTTGAGGAGGACGAGCTAAAGGGTCAGGCCCTGTTACGGTAAAACATCCCAGAAAATAATGAATTTTTAAAAAATCCAAAACATGTCTAAAAACGTTACTGAATTCCTTGATTGCATGTTAACAGTTTTTATGCTAGCATGCTAGCAGGTTGAGTAATGGCAGTTTAAAATGGCCGACCGTCAGGCCCTGTCACATCCCTGTGCGACGGCCTGACAGTCCTGTGACACTGCCTTACAAATGAATGGCATTGTTGTTTTTTATTACCTTTATTGCATATAATATGTATTTAACGCATGCCATAGTAAAACATTATTTGAATAAATAGACATTACACTGTAAATCTGAAGCTTTTTATGCTCATCGACAATTTTTTTATAGATTAACATGTCCTCCATATGACTCAACGTTCAGATTTAAGAATAAGATATTTTTTTCACCCAAGATTTTTACAAGTGGAAATGTACGTTTCTGGTAGAATATCCCATATACTCGTGTTGCCGAAGCTCACCGACGCCATCTTGTGCACCGAGCCCACTCCCAGCCGGGATATATGATCGAACTTCAACGTTGAAATATGGTTGAAATAAGGTCAGTTCTTGTTACGACGTTGATACGTTTAATGCTCAACGGTTGGAAAATGGAATATGAAATATAAAGCAGAAGTACCGTCGATAAATGGATGTTATTGTGGGGAAAAAAGACAAAAATGCATGCATTTGTTCTCTATTATATTTCATAGAAAAAAAACGTATGTTTTGAGAACGAACGATCAAAAGCATTGAAATGTATTTTTCCTCTCATTTCATGATTTCCCCCATAACCATGTCGCCATAAGAACTCCGTAATGTTGCACAATCCTGGCAGGATTCTCTTGCCAGGCGGTGGTTTTGGTCCCGTCGCCATCTTCACTAGGCTATTTCTGATTGCAGATCACAGCGCAACTGCGCAAAGAATGCTTCCTAAAACACAAATGCATTAAAAACATAAAAAAACAAACTTAATATATGTCTGTCATTGCTTATATTATCAATAAATCAACATATTTGCATACAACAGGAAATGTAAACTCACCACGAGTCGAGCTGCTGTTCAGATTACATTTAGATTCTTTCACTTTCGATTCCACGTCATTCTCCCCGCTGCAGTTGCGTCGGTTTTTTTTTTTTTTCTGTTTTTTTTCCCCTGTGCCTGATTCCTGCCTGTTAATTTTCTTTCAGTTGAGAGCAAGAATGAGATGTTCACGGCACACAATGAACCCAAAATCGACATGTACATGTAACACACGAGAAACTGCACAAATAGCGGACAGAAGCAGACACATGAGAGTGTGTTCAATAAACTTTATTCATTCTGTCTGTACAGATATAGTAACTGTCACATGTAGGGTTGTCACCTTCAGTGAAGCAAAATAAGGGACGACCCCCCCCCAAATAAGGGACCCAAGTATGTAAACTTGCAGCAGAACACATTAATATTGTTATTTTAAATTTGATTATTTATAATTATCAATTATTATTAGTCTTCTTTGATAGTTCTGCAGCTGTTACCAGGATGGGATGAATTTGTATTATTTTTTTATTCATTTGCTTAAAGTAGAACTACATTATTTTGTAATTATTTGTCCCATTTTTGTCTAATTAATTTAGTTTTTTTTTTTTTTTACTTTTTAAAATGCCAAATGACATGTTTTGTTTATTTAGCCTTTCTGTTTAACTTTAAAGGTATGGTTCACCCAAAAATGAAACTTCTGTCATAATTTACCCAGGTTTTTCTAAACCTGCATAAAGTTCTTTCTTCTGTTGAACACAAAAGAAGATATTTGAAGAATGTGGGTAACTAAACAGCTGCTGTCCTCAGTAACTTCCATAGTAGAGAAAAAATGCTATCAGAGTCATTGGGGACCAGAAAGAAATTATTACAGGTTTGGAACAACTTGTGGGTGTGTAAACTTTGACACAATTTTCATTTTTGGGTGAACTGTCCCTTTAAGTCAGACAGTCCACCGTGAACAACTGAAATGCTTCTCTGCAAACTGCGCGTTCATCATTAGTTACTGGACGGACAAATTGATAACTTTCCCATTCAGCCCTACATCTGGAGAGTCTTGTGTTCAAAGGGCAGTTGTGAGCTCCAGATGTTTTAAACCGCGCAGGTTTAGCGCATGCTGCTTTGTTGCTTATGATGAGAGAATTTGCAGTTTCAATCAGAATTCATTTAGCACGCGCATGCACTGAACAAAACTCAGCGATTACTAATCTGAACGCTTCTGATTGGCCGTTGTGTTCATTAACTCAACAGAATCCTGTGTGTTTGGGTATGATGTGCAAAATCTGTAAAAACGTGTAAAAAGAAATATGATGTGAGCATTACAGCAATCAACACTTTTCATTTAATTTTAATTTAGATTCATTTCATGTTTCAAGTAGGCCATAGCTTTTTTTGAAAAACCCAGGGACCCCTCAAGTTAAGCCCCCCTCAATTTGAACACTGCCAGTCAGAGTGAGTCTCCAGTAAACAATTCAGTGAATTTACAAGCCTGACTCAAAATGTGCCAAGAATCTCGGAGCTTGAGTGCACCTGTGACTGATAACGTGCAAAGTAAGTTACTAATGCTGAATTTTAGCATTTATTATTGTAAATGAAAACCTTATTTGGCCATACTGTCAGTTGTTTGTGAACTAAATCTGATGTAAAAGCGGGAGCTGTTTATGAAATGCTTGAATGCAAATATGTCCACATTTGTGAATCACCATATCAATGGAGAAGGTAAAAACGAAACATAACATTAAAATAACACAAATTAAGGGGCTAAGTAGAAAGCGTGGTCCACAATGTCGATTTATATCTCAAGCCCCTGTTCTGTATATTTTTTGCACACATGAAGTATCAGTAACCTAAGCTGATATTTTAATATATTTAAAATAAAATATGTTTTGATAGTTTATGGCAAGGCCCCTCCCCCATTTTGAACCATATAGAAAATATATAATACAAAATTATTAAATATAAAAGTATAGGCTATTAGTTTACATTTAAAATTACAAAATAAACATTCATCGATCAGTGCTTAAGTACATTAATCAAATACTTTCGTATACTTTTTCTCAAGTAAAATGGAGTAAGGAGTAAAAGGAGTAACTGCTTAACACTTTTACTAGAGTAACATTTTATTAGGGTTATCTGTACTTTTACTCAAGTACTTGATTTGTGTATCTCCACCACTGGGCATCACAATAAGTTTATTAGTTCATGTGTAATCCAAATGGATGGCAATTTTATATTCAATTCAAACACTTAAATAATAGCCTATAATAAAATGGTCATAGGGACAACTTTAATGATACTTTTAGACTGTGTATGTGGGTGTTGTTGAAACTCAGAGAAAATGTGTTTAAATAAATGTCATGCATTCTAGCTTTTATATTGCCATGTTGACTTCTGGATACACTGTTTTGTTTCCTTCCTTCTTCATCCACGCAGGAGAAAATGGCATTAAACCAACTTCTAGGCGTTTGTCTGGATGTATCTGAATATCTGATGTTTCTGCCACAGTGGTTCATAAACATCATTCACCACAGATCCACAAATGTTTTAAATATTCAGTACTAAAGTGGAAAGATCTGATATAAACATTCAATTAAAAATTACATTTATATTAACAACCCCCTCACTGAGTATTATAGTTTCTATAAACACTTTTCCTGATAAAGAATCATGATTTGTAGTGAAATTGACGTCGTTCCTGAAATTATGAGACTGAGATCTTTGCTCAAGTTCAGCACACGAGGCCTCCATCAGCACAACTGTTTACTGTCCTTTCAACTGACTTGTGTTTGTTTCTTGTTCAGTGTTGCATTTAAATAATAGCCTAATTACTAGGCTATTTCATTATGGTACAGCATTAATGGTGTAGTGTGTTTTCACACTAGCGCGTCTGCACCTGAGCGTACAAACACTCCTCCTGTGTTTTACACGGCTGCTGTTGAACCTTTCTGTCGGTGAACATCACTTCTCCGTAATGAAGCTCCTGCTCCTTCTTCTCATTCCTGTTTGTCTGAGGGCCTGTCGAGGCATTTTCCACATCTGCAGAAAGAGAAGGACATAAACAGATGAGATTATAACTATATTATAAACATGATGATTTCTGTTGCATTAATCTTGATAGTAAATGAAGTATTGCATGTGTTTACAGATTTACAAAAGGTGAGAATCAGCGGTGACTTACAACCACGGTTTAAAATCTGCCTGAACTGGGGATAAACTGGTTTACTAAGATAAATATTTCTTATAGGGAAAAACATATTGTGAATTATTCCATTGATTTTTTGTTGTTGTCCCATTAACAAATGTAAGGTCTGTTTTGGGTTTTGTTTCTGGTTTAGGTTTTCATGTCTTTTATTTTTTATATTTATATAAAATATAAGAATATAAGTAAAAAATTAAAGAAAAGTAAAGTTCAGGAATAGTCCATTTCACACTGGATGACAGGGGTGACTGGAAGAGTCCATGTGTTAAAGGCGAACATATTCTACAGCCACCCCAAATTCACAGTGTGAATTTGCCAACTTAAATTGTCTTTGCTAGTCAGGGAGTGGGGGCAGACAAATAATCTTGGTTACAGGTCGGGTGTAAGTCTTGTCTTTGATCCGTATTTCTGCAGATCTAATTCTTTCGTCGGACCCAGGAAAGACCTGAACAATTCTCCCTACGGGCCAAAGAGAACGGGGTAGTTGCTGGTCCACGATCATGACTTTGTCACCGATCTGCAAGTTGTCTTCTTCAGTTTTCCATTTTTGTCTGATCTGGAGATTGGGTAAGTAGTGCTGTATAAAGTGCTTCCAAAAGTGGTCAGCCAAGACCTGGCTATGTCTCCATCTCCTACGGCTTAGGAGTTCAGCGTCCTGATTATACCACTTGTGGTAATGAGCAGGGGTGTGAAGTAACGAATTACAAATACTCACGTTACAGTAATTAAGTCGTTTTTGTCGTTTAAAAAAAAATTATTTAAATTTTTTTGATCCATTTTGTACAATCCGCCTTCATTTAGCAAGTGCACTCGCGCATAAACAATTTTCAAGTTCAACAATACTCATGAGTACTTTTAAATAGGCTACTCTTTTACTCTTACTCAAGTAGTTTTTTGGACAAGTACTTTTACACTACTCACACTACGTTTTTTGGAAGGTAATGGTACTTTTATTTGAGTATATTTTTTTAGTACTCTTTCCACCACTGGTAATGAGGCATCCTGCCGCCCCATCAGCAAGATGTTAGGAGTCACTGGATCTGGATCGGCAATGTCCGAAGAGGTATAGCCAATGGGCTTGGAGTTGAGGATGCTCTCTATCTCTATGAAGACAGTTCTCAGTACTTCTTCTGTAACCGTCGGGGAGCCAATGGCGACCTGAAGTGCAGCCTTTAAGGAGCGTATTTCTCTCTCCCAACATCCACCAAAGTGTGGTGCACTGGGTGGATTGAAGATGAATCTGATCTGTTGGCTGGCGAGTTGGGTTTGGAGATCAGGGTGAAGGGCACTGAATGACTCTTTTAGTTCTCTTTCTCCTCCTTTAAAGTTGGTACCCTGGTCTGCTAGGAGCTCAAAGGGTTTACCACGTCTTGAAATGAATCGTCGTAAAGCCATCAAGAAGGAATCTGTGTCCATACTGGTGAGAATGTCAGTGTGAACTGCACATGATTAAAGATGATTCCCCATCTTTTCTCAGTTCTACGTCCCACCTTTATGGTGTAAGGTCCAAAGCAATCCACACCTGTCGAGTAGAAGACAGGTTGATGGATCCTTAGCCTAGAAGGTGGGAGGTCTGCCATTCTGGGGGGATGTGGTTGTCCCCGCCATCTCTGACACTCTGGACACTGTCGTTGGTGGTTTCGGACTGTGGCTCACCCCCGTATCACCCAGTATTTCCTCCGAAGTTCAGCAAACACCCTATCTGGCCCTGGGTGATGCAGCTGATTGTCATAGTCCTTGATTATCAGTTTGGTGAGAGGGTGACGCGATTCGAGGACAATGGGATGTATAGCATCATCTTCCAGTTGGCTGCTTTGACGGAGCCGACCCCCAACTCGTATGAGTTTGGTATCCTCATTCAGGAGCTAAGCACAGAAAGTGGCTATTTCTTGGAAAGAGCTTACCTGCTCTAAGGCAGGACAGTTCCTCTGGAAATGACTCGTACTGGCTTTGACGAAGGACTGCGAGTTCTGCCTCTTTGTAATCATCTGCTGTTGGGATATCAGTGGCTGCCCCGTTGACTTGTTGGATGTAAGCCTTCAGCAACTCTGGAAGTGTATCATACTTCTGTGGATCAGGAATGGGTGGGGAGGAGGTTGATAGACCACAGAAGACTGGCTTTCTCAGTTCACCGTCTTGATCAATGGTCGTTAACGGCGGCATCTCTGGCCAGTGGTCAGTTGTTTCTCTGAAAAATTTGGGCCCTTTGTTCCATCTGCTTTCCTGGCTTATGTCACAGAGAGATTTTCCCTTGGTGATGTCATCTGCGGGATTCTCCTTTGATGGCACATACTTTCACTTATCAGACTCTGTGAGTTCCTGGATTTCTGCCACTCTGGTGCCTACAAACACTTTAAAACGACAGGAGGGTGATAGCAACCAGTTAAGGACAGTTGTGGAATCAGACCACAGGGTGACACTGTGCATGTGCAAAGTCAGTTCTGTCTTCAGATTTTTTGCGAGCTGGGCGCCAGTCACTGCTGCACATAACTCCAACCGTGAAATGGTTTGCTGTTTTTTCGGGGCTACCCGAGATCTAGCAGCTACAAAGGCTACTTCCACTTTACCTTCAGGGTTTTCAGTTCGTAAGTAGGCCACAGAATCATAGACTTGCTCTGAAGCATCGCAGAAAATATGGATCTGCCTGGTGCTAGTAGGGTAATCCAGTTCTTTGCTGCAGTAACATCTCGGCCACGCAATGTGCTGTAGATCATCCAGCTCACTCTCCCAAGCTTTCCACAAGTTCAACAGTTCCTCAGGCAGTTTGGAATCGTCCCACTCTCTTTTCTTGTCCCATAAGCTCTGTACAATTACTTTGGCCCGTGTTGTGAATGGCGTAATATAGCCAATGGGGTCATACTGGCTAGCGAGGGTATGGTATATACTCCGCATAGTTGGAAGTGGGTGGTTTGTCCAACGTTGCTTATAGGAGAGAGTGTCTGATGAGCAATGCCAACGTAGCCCGAGGGCTGACTCCTGTGCATCTTGATGGCCTTCGCTGAGCCACTGTATTTTGCTTTGGGATCGAGCATCAGCTGGCAAGTGACTGATGACTGACAGATCATTGCTCGCCCACTGTCTCAAGTCAAAGCCTCCTGAACTTAAGAGGTTGCTGAGTCTGTCGACAAAATCTTTCGCTGTTTCACTTGAGGTGAAACTCTGAAGGCAGTTGTCGACGTAGAAAGATTTCTCTATTGAGAACCTTGTGTCTTCAGACTCACTGTTATCCAGGACGTGCTTCTGTAGAGCGAATGTTGCACAGCAAGGGCTACACGTGGTTCCGAAGGGTAGAACTTGCAATTCGTACACGTCTGGTGCTTTGTCTCTCTGAAGATCTCTCCAAATGAATCTCAGCAGCGGTTTGTCTTCAGGTAAAAGGCGTACCTGGTGGAACATCCCACGAATGTCACTACTAATGGCGATGGAATGTTCTCGAAAACGCAGGAGAACTGCCAGCAGAGAAGGACTGAGTGGTGGTCCTGGGAGCAATTCAAGAAATGTCTGTTGTTGTCGCAGTATGGACAGTAAGCATTCACCCCTTCTCTCTTAGCAGCAGCTGGTTTGGGTGGATGAGCTGGTGTGGCTGGGCTGGGTTTCGGGTTATCTGTACCAAGGAGGATGGTAGTGGATTTACGAGGTTGCTTAGAGTCTCTCCTCATCTCCTTTCTCTGCAGTGATGAAACTTTGGGCAAACTAGTATAGTCAGTGTGCTCCTCCTGCACCTGAAGCTCATACTCAAGCCAATCTGCAAAGTCCAATAAGGTGGGGATGATGACGCGAAGAGGGTGAGTGTACCTCTTGAAACTGGACCTGAGGTCATGTGGCAGTTTACTCATCAATCTGGAGACATGTGACCCACACTCCAGCTCAACATTGCCTTTCTGGCCCAGCTGTTCCAGCAAACTAACCAGGGAGTGCACTTGGAGTCCGAACATCCGAAAAGCTTTCACGTCTCCACTGCAAATGTTTGGACCATCCATCAATTCGGCAATGCGCTGTAATGCTAGCCATACATTTTATTGAGGGCTCTCATGGTGTTTGTGAATGGGAACCTTGAGTTGCTATATGAGTCCGCCACAAGGAGTGCTTCCTCCAGTTTCAGGTGGTCAGTGAGGATCTGGTACTTGAACTGTTCTGTTGCATCCTCAGGTAGAATGTTCTCTAGTGCTATCCTCAGTCTAGAGAACTCTCTAGGATCCGGGGGTGACAGGAAGGGGATAGTTGGAGCAGGGCCTCTGTACATCTTTTCCTGTGTGTATGGAGGCTGGTAATAAACTTGTCTGTAGTCTGTGTGAGCGGGCAGCATCCGCTCATGTGCTGGGGTCTTGAACTCTGACAGATGGGATGGAATGTGCTGTGGGGAACGAGGGTACCTGGGTTGAGGTGGGTCGCTGTAATGTGCTGGTGGTGGTACTCTCTCAGGCATTGAGGAAGAAATGTCCATGTTCCTAAAATCCTCAGCCATTCCAGGGTACTCGTCCATTGTAGCTGAGCGCAGTTCTCTCATGGCGGTAGGCGGCGTTGGTGGCTTTGTCCGTGGGGTTGGAGTCGGACAGAACCGTTGTGGGGTCTCTGGGCTCACCACTGGAGTAAAGGGACCTGGAGACGGGACTGGTGAAGTCACTGGCCTGGAGGGAGCTTCCTTTTCTGCCTTAAGACTTTGAAGTTCGTTATGTAACATGGCATTCTGTTGGCGCATCTCCTGTACAGCTGAGATGATCTCTGGAAGCTGGATGGCTTGTCGTCGCAGGATTGCATTCTCTCGTTTCATCTCTTGCTACATGCACAATGGCTCACCAAGCTCGTAGTCCACTAGATGAGCTGGTGGGTTAATCCGTCTTCGTGGACGCACAACGGGCACTTCCTTCTCAGGTTGAGACATCTCTGTAACAATTCACCTCCGGCTCGAAGGACCATGAAAAATCTTATGAATCTGCACTCTATTGCTAGTCCGGGTTTGGGTGAAGGCTACAGTTTGCCCGGTCAGAACAATGATGTCTCACTCAAATAATCCAAATTGTCTCTATTAAATGTGCATAGATGTGTGGTTGGTGTGATGCACGCACACACACAATCGATAAAACTCCTCTAATTTTCACTAATACTATGTATTTTAATCTACAAACTATCTACAATATTCAGTCAGTTTGCCTTCCCGTTCTCATCCACCTGCTCTCTTCTCCGTCACTTCACGAACTCAGATGGAAAGTTCAGGAATAGTCCATTTCACACTGTATGACAGGGGTGACTGGAAGAGTCCATGTGTTAAAGGGGAACACATTCTACAATATTCATATTTATTTACATATTATTTACATGCATATTTATTTATACTTATGTATACATGTATTTATTCTATATGCAATTTATTTATTATTTATTTTTATATACTGTATTTTAATTATTCTATATGCATATTTACTATATTCCTTTTATTTTTATTTTTTTTATTTATGCCATTTATTTCATATGCATATTTATTTATACTATACTATTTATATTAAATGCTCATTTACACACTTTATTTATTGATTCTGTATTTAATTTATTCTACTTATTTTATAAGCACACTACTCTGTTTTATTTATTTTATATACATATTCATTTATACTCTTTATTTAGTGATATTTTATTATTCTGTTCATTCATATGCATTATCTCATTTATACTATTTATTTTATATGCATTATTTATGTATTTCTTTATTTTATTTTCATATTTATACTCTCAAGACTCATCATGACTTTAATATTTTCATTTTAGTGTCAGGGGTGACACATACTGTTAGGACAGCAAAGCAGATAAACCCTTCACTTTCATTTTTTTCACTGTGCTTGAGGCAGCACCAGGGCAGGGTGTTTTTATTAAAACCGCAGATGCTTTTTTTAATCAGTTTTTCTCAAACTACTGTCTCATACTTCAGACTGTGACTCGCTGCTGTAGTCAGTAAGTTTAGGGAGGTTATAAAAGGACCATGACCTCCCAAATGTGTCAAATTCCTATACAGTTGTTATTATTTTTTCAATAAAAGTTGATAGAAATCTTGACAGTCGCTGATTGGCATCAGGGCAAGATTTTCATTTTTAAATCTGAATTATGATTTGTTATCATCTGTGCTATCAATCACTTAAAACCAACTAATTAATACTATTATCAAATAGTAATATTAAATAAACATGTAAGATGTTATATTTGATGTTTTCTGTGCATTAATGTAAATTCTCTCATCATGGAAAAAAACAACATACAGGTTTGGAAATGAAGATGTGGAATAAATAATGATAGTTTTGGGGCGAATTATTCCCTCAGCAACAGAAGCAGTTTGTCTATGAACTGCAGATTAATTCATATTATATTTACATATATTCATTTATCAGATGCTTTAATCCAATCGCATATACAAATGAGGACAAACATAAGTGAATAAAGTGATAAAGGCAATAATATAATACTGTAGGTTCATGAACTCAAGACTGACTTGTGGGTTTGAGCTGATTCTTCTTCTTGTAAACGTAATATGCGATGATGACCAGAACAATAAGAATTACAGCAAGACTTCCCAAAACGATCAGAGCCACTGGATGATCTGTGGAAGGAAAAACACAACACAGAAGCTCAACATAAAAACAGCTTCTAAATATTCATTCATTACAACAGCTAAGTGATAGAAGCCATTTTTAAACATGAAAATATAAATATATATTTTAATATCAATATTCTGATGACAGAGTTTCTGTATGAAAATATGTAGCTTTTTCTGTGCTGTCTTTTTATCATGTATTATCATTCATTGGTTCTTTGTTTTTATAATTCATTTGCATGAGAGTGAGATCTTTGGAGAACATGAGATTGTAATGAGTCTGATGAGAGAGTTTCTGTACCTTCAACAATCACTTGAAGATCTCTAGATGTTTCTGTGCCGTCTGAGTGATCGAGTGTTAATCTGTAATTCCCTGAATCTGCTCTGATCACACGGTTTATTATCAGAGTCCCATTAATGACAGTCACTTCAGATCTGTTATTATAAAGATCACATTCCTTTATCCTCATTGTGTCATTCTTTATTCTACAAACTGGATCATCTGCTGTGTTGTTTATTCTCTTTATGATCTTCAGGTTATATTTACTAGCGTTCAACATCTGCAGACTAAGTTTGTCTTCCAGAGCTGTGTAACAGGGATCAGACTGACCAAACCAGCAGAACCGATCCAGACCTGAAGAACAAAACACACACACACACACTGAAATCTACCAAAATCAACTCTAAAACATTTTTATCTGTAAAATAAGTATCAATATTTAAGAATCCCAAAAATAATAATGTAAAAAATACAATTTCAGCGTGAATTTAAATCCAAAAAAATGGACTACAGACAAGTATTTTCATATATTTTCACAAAATTAATTCTACTATCGAAAAAAACGGTTCACATGAGCTGATGCCACTGAAACATCTGAACTCCGCTCAGCAACCTCAGTTAAGATGATCAATCCTTTAGTCTGATTTACACACTTTCACACATATTTATATTCCAATATGACATTCTGAGACAGAAAATGCTAGCTACAGCCAAATTCACGTATACTTATGCAGTATTCTGTATTCTATTATGTAGCATAAATAGTGTTAGTAGTGTGTTTACACTGAAAAACACAAAAGGAAAAAGTGAACTTTAAATGACCCGATGATGCAACATGCACACAGTTGAACTGAATCAACATCGAACTGAACTGATTTGAATAATGACACTATCGTCTTTTTAAACTCACTTTACAGTTGAATTTGAATTTGTTGAAGTTGCTTTGACATAATCTGTATTGTATAAAGGTGAATAGACTTGGGACACAGCTACCAGATCACTAAAAACTAAAGTTGCTTTAGAAAAATGAAATGTTACAACACAAAGGATTTGTTGGTCTCTTTAATGACACTCTCATCTATATTAATTAATTATTTTGTCTACTAAATGTCCAACAGTCAGCGTACATGCATCACAGGAGAAGTCTGTCATTTTTGTAATTTTCTCCCCCTAAATGCTTTAAGAAAAAGGTCATTATTAACATTTGCTGCAGCTCTACCATAAGCACTTAACTTAAACCAAGGCACTACATGCACACTACATAACATTTCACTTCTTTCTGTTTTTCATTTCTGCTCTAGCTTGTTTCCTATTAAACCTCACAATGTATACTATGAACACGGTTCGCTCTGCATGTGACAAATTGCTAGTTGCTTTGAATAAAAGCATCTGCGAAATGAATACATGTAAATGTAATCTTATATCTCAAATGGAAAGTCTGGGCCAAGGGTAAAATACAATTTAAACAATAAAAGGTATTTTTATGAATAAGTCGACTCACATGCAGCACTCTGCAGCAGCAGCATCAGTCCAAAGATGAGCATCATTTCTCTAAAGTCCAGTTTCAGAAGAGAGTCAGACCGAGTCTCACTGACAGACAGCAGCTCTACGGACACATCAGGAGATTACACGACTTTAACAGAGAAAGAGGAAAGAGGAAGTTTGCTCATAGGAGGGGAAGACAGGCTGTCGGTCAGCAGTTTACACTAACACACTTTCAGCGATAGAGATAACAAAAGAATAAACAAGTGACTCACAGAATTAGTTTAGTATCTAAAATATACGGATATCTTTTTTTTTATGTTGAGAGACAGTTCTTAGTCCAAATCAAATTTGGACTTTGTTTTCCTTATCTGTTAAATCTTTTGGACATTTGCAGGTTTTAATTACAGAAAAGATAAACTACTTCCATCGCTGATACAGCAGAAAAGCAGAAGCACTACAAACCACAAAACAGATCATCAATTAAAAACATGCATGCAGCGTTTAGTGTAAAACCACAGAACCCAAACTACAAACTTCAACAGACCAAACTTATCACGTCAGGTGCAAAAATATGCATACAAATAAAATTGGCATCGCATTTTCTTCCCCAAACAATGTATTTCAGTTGCAGTGGAGTCAGCCATATCGAAAGTGTTCTAGATATAACACTAGGAACAAGTATATAAAAATATGTTCTTGAGAACATCGTATTTTCAGTGTCTGAAACTGAAGAGCGGTGGTTTTCAGACTGGAAGTGAGCAGCAGAACGTGTGAGAATGGTGGTGCGTTCATGCCATGAAAGAGAAGACATTTACTCATTTAAAGGGGTCATACATGCACTTTTACAAGTTGTTGGAACTGAAATGTGTGTTGGCAGTGTGTGTACACAGCCACCCTATAATGATAAAAATCCACCCAGTGTTTTTTTTTTTATCTGGTTAAATGTTTACCCCTTTCTCAAATCGAGCTGATCTCAGATGCCTGTCTGTGTGACGTCACACAGACAGGCCCCTCCGTTTTTGACAGGGTAAAAAAGGTGTTTTTAGAAATTTTAACCAAACTATGTTACAGACTTTTCATTAAGACCCTAAAGAATCATATCAACTTGTGGAAAATGGGCATCCTATGACCCCTTTAACAACTTTATTGACTGGCATTAGTTGCATTTACATGACATCTCTCACACCACGGATATGTGACCAAGTGTTTCCTGCACTGCTCACATGGAAAAACAAACCTACAGTACAGTACAGCACGACCTGCATAGGCCAGTTTATGAACAAATGACTTGTGTGAGTGCGGTTCTTCGTTAGAAAACTCACTATTGAATCAGTCTGGCAAATCCTTCAGTGGATCGAAATCAGAATCGCAGCAAATACTTGTTTTTATAAAAGCAGAAATAATAAGAGAATGCAATTCTAAATTAAGCCTCTGCTGCTCCTGAATCAACATACAGTATGACTCACATTCCACATTAATATTCATCACTGAAAGTAACCATACACCCAGATAACAGGGAACGTTCTCATAACATTGCTGTGGCAAACAGTCCTTCAGTAACATTAATAGAACATTGTTCAAAGTTATCTGGGCTTTAAAGAGATAATAAATAAATTAAAATAAAATAAATACTATGAAAGTAATAAGGCTACCAGCAACTGTTTGGTCACCAAAATTGAGTTTAGCAGAAGAAATAAATTCATACACTAATTGAGGGTGAGTAAATGACAGAACTGTTATTTTTTGGGGGTGAAATAGCCCTTTAGTAATGTTCTCAAAATGTTATTTATCGGCCTACATCGCGTTCACGTAATGTATTTAAACATTCGGCTACTACTTACTAGGTCTTGTTTCAGAATGTTTAAAGAAAATTTAAAATGCTCTCATAATGTTATCAAAAAAAAAAAAAGAACGTTTGCAATAACCAAAAAACTTATGGTGTGTTCAGACCGAGCGGCAACCTCCCGCCCTCTCTCGTGAAGCCAACACGGAAGTGACTTAAACTGTAATTCATCAACTGGCCGCTAGAGGCTGGCTGCAAAAGGGAGTCAATCCCATAGACTCGATGCGAAGCGAATATGCGCATTGTGTCACTCGCTCTAGATTACTCGCGGATGTTTTCCGTGTCACTCGCGCGAATAAAAACATAACTACAATCGCTGTTTTGTACCTGTTATCAAAAAGTCCCAAATACAATGGAAAGCCAAACGCCGACGTGTCTGGGTTCACAGCACCATCCAGAGGAGGATGAATAATGTTAGGATCCTGCATTAATGTGTGTGTTACATTTTACTACTGTATATATACACTGATATTACTATTATTTTTATTATTGATAGCAGCATCTCTGTAGCAATGCTAATAAAATACAACTATCACTACAACTGATTTTAATTGTTTTCTATGCTCCAGACCTATATAATAACAGACGGCTATAATAATGCTCTCTTCCATTGTCTGATTCAACTGGACGTGTCAAGAAGCTCTTCGCTGATTGGCTTGCGCGAGAACGCGTCACGCGAATTTTCCGCTCCAGTTGAAATTTTTGAACTTGCGCGAAAGACGCGATTGAGGCGAATATCGTACGTTCGCGGCAAACGCGTCGCGCATTTCGCGTCATTCGCGTTGCCCGGCGCGAATTCGCCTCTATTCGCGTCTTTGCGTTGACTTTGTATGTAATCTACTTGCGCGAATAATTACATTCGCGTCTGGTGTGAACACACCATTAGAAATAATGTTTTCAGAACTTAATGGACCTTTTTCACAAGACTGTGATGACGCGTTTAACGGTCACCAGCATCGTAAATCTTCGAACGTTTTTCATATTTGTATTTTTTTTTTAAATGTATGTACATTTATAACACTATTATTTGTATTAAATCACCTTTGCATCAAATTACAAAAAAATCAGTTTTTTAAAAAAATGTATGTACATTTATAACACTATTATTTATATTATATCACCTTTGCAACAAATTACACACAAAAAAAAAAAACGGTTAACGCTAATGCTAATGTGTTTCTAATGGGATTGACGGTAAATTTGACATCGTTCTCTCTTCTGACTGTCGTTATCAGTCGCTCTCAAATATTTTTTTCCTTTTATTGAAAGTCATGAAAACACTATCGTGGAGTTTTTCTTTTGCTATTTGAGCAAATGGGAATGCGAAAAAATATATATTTGTGATACTCTCCCATTCACCGCTCTTCAGGTTAACCCAAATATGACGACTTCCACTGCCGAGAAACCCGGAAATGTGAAAAAGGTCCACGGGAACATTGGCAAAACGTTATATTTGATTGCTTAAATTTCTATTGAATTTGCCCGTTTCTGTTGCACCGGCGTGAATTCGTTTCCAATGCCGTTTACACTCAGTTACAGATCAATAACTTGTTTTCAGTATTTTTTTTTTTAGTATTTGATAAGTTTGGGACCGTGTTTATTAATGTTTTTAGATTATCTGTATGTGATCACTGAGCAGTAAACACAAATATTGATTGACGTCTGCGCCTTTCCTCGGGTTGGAAGCATAGACTGTATAAAAACATGGACGTAGTGTCCATGACGTCACCCGTAGGGTTCCGAAGATAGTTTTTGAAGCTCAAAAGTGGGCGGAGCCGGCCGTCGCCATCTTGGCAGTGCATCACCGTGCGTCATAATCGAAAATGGGCAAAGAGGCGGGAGCTGGTTGTTGAAACCACTTTTTAATGTCAGTTACTGTATTTCAACTACTTTAATTTATTCATATTTTTATGATTGATTTGTTTTTTTCAAAACATTTTGTTATTTTACTTAAATTATTTATTTATTTAAATCAAATGTACTTAATCATATTTTTTTTTTCTCTAAACATTTCCACAGATATTGCATGAACTGATCAAATGTTTCTCTTGAATGTAATGCATGCTACTTTAGAAAAAAGGCCTCCACTTTGTCTAATATTCTTGTATTATATGTCTTGTATTTAGCAATGGAACTTCCTAGCGTTTACAAGCAATAGAACTCTTTCTGATTCTGATAAATGTGCATATTAATCATCAGTGTGCATATGCATATCTGAGTGTCTGCGTCATGCAGAGGTCTGTGTGCATTAGTTCTGTGCATCATGCGTGTTGGTTTAGTGTCTGATGCGTGTGTTATGTTCATGTGTGCAGTATGAGATGTACAGTATCGAGCGTAACGCTGAGAGGACGGCCTCCGCCGGCAGACTCCTGTACGACATGTGAGTCTCAGTGCATTCACTCGGGATGCCTTCGCTGCACATGACGGCTGTTTAATCATGTTTCCTGATGCACAGATTCGTGAATTTCCCCGAGCAGCCGGTGGTCTGGCGTGAGATCGCAGTGATCACTGCAGCGTTACGAAACGACAGCCAGGACAAACACGCTCAGTTTCTCAAAGGTGTGTGTGTCAGTGTTATTTACTATTAGCTCAGAATATTAGAGCTTTTAGGCATCTTTTGAAATAGCTTTATTTTTTTTCGTTTCAAATTTTAGTTAAATCTGACAGTCAGTGTTAAAGGTCCAATGTTGTCAAAACTGAAATTTCCTGGCTTTTTTCACGATAACTGAGGTCGAGGTGCTATGTAACTACCATATAAGTTTCAAAACAGTCAGTCCACAGTAAAATGCACACAGCCTGCATAAAGTAGCTGTGATTTTTCACGAACCGTTGTGACTTCCGTAAAAAGTAGACGTCAGAACTACACAGTCACCGCCTTCAGTCACCACCCTGAGTACCGCCCACCGTCCCACTCTCCTTTAGCCAAACCCACAGACACATCACGTCCATACCATTGCTGAGCAACAACAACACAGAAACATGTCAGCAACGTCCCGCTCTCTCTCGTGAAGCCAACAAAGAACTGGCCGCTAGAGGCTGGCTGCAAAAGGGAGTCAATCCCATAGACTCCCCATGTTAAAATGCCCAACTTTACA